GTTATATAGTACATTAAGAGTCTTAGAACTTATTAGGATTGAGTTTATTGAGTTTTTAACTTGGAAGTGCAAAATTAAACAATAAACTCATATAGGTGACACATATTCACTTTGATCAGGCATACAATGTTCACACACATCAAGAGTTGTTATGCAAGTGTGAAACATGATCATACATATGTTAGAAGTCACTTAGAATCATTTAGAAGTCACTGAAAATTATTAGGATGCATTAATCTTCAAAAACCAGCATGAAAACTGATTTCTGCATAAAAGTAATCGAATACTTTTTTGGGTAGAAAAGTATTCGAATACTTGATGAACAGTAATCGAATACTTTTTGGATTTGAAGAAGTATTTGAATATTCCCCGAAAAGTAATCGAATACTTTCTGTCAGTAGTGACTTAAACTTGAAGAAATTCAAATTTTTTTATGCCTAACGGCTAGAAACGACTAATAACTCATTGGATACCTATAAATACATATCTTTAGGGTTCTAAACAAAAGAATTAACACAGAAAAACTCAGAATCAAAGAAATCTCATAATTGAACCCATATTGGCTTGCTTTTGCACATCCTTGAGAAAAATCTCAATTGCTCTCTCATCTCTCAATCTTTTTCTGTTCTTTCTTTTTTGTTCGAATATAGAGATGTGACTCTACATCTGTTTAGCAAGAGTGAATTGTTGTAATTGTTGGAAAGATAATTTGAGTGATCCTAAAGGCTTAGGTTAAGTGTGATCAAGGTGTGATCATAGACTTGTAAAATTCAAGTTGTAAAAAGGTTTCTTCAAGCACCTGTTGGAAGCTTGATGATAGTGAAAACGATCAACCTCAGTCTGGATGTAGCTCTCAAGTGGTTTAGAGAGAGAACCAGGATAAACCCCGATGTGATTCTTCCTTAACCTATCTCTTTTGATTTCTATCAATTGAATTTCATTTTGATTCTTGATATATTTCATATTGAATTTGTTTTAAGGATTATAATCATTACTTTTCTATTTTAATTCGTTCTTGCATAATTTCTTGAAAAAGGTGAGCATAAACATTGAAATTCTTCTATTTTCCTTTTCAAATTTGATCTGCTACATATTGCCTCTGAATTGATGTTATAAGAATTGTTTTAATTCTGTTTGTATTGGGAAAAGGTTGATGATCAACAAATTTTATTTTGGTTGAAGTTGTATATTAAAAAGTTGATTTTTGAATTGTTTCTTGAATTTCATGTAACACACAATTCACCCCCCTCTTGTGTGATTGTTTAGCCATCTTTTCTTTTCAGAAAGATTGATGACTTGTGAAGGAAGTTATTGATAGATGGTGTAATTGGATTGGTGGTGGTTTGAATCATAAATGATGAAGTTAAATAAGAGTTTTAAGCACTTGAATTGTCAAAAAATTACCTTGGCCCTCATTATGTACACATTCGGCCATATTGAGATTTTTAGGGAAAGATAGTTTAAATTGTGTTTTGGTTTGATGGAGGGTGTGGGAGTGTATTGGTTATTTGATTGATGAGGTTTAAATTGAATTCATGAAAAATCTTCCTTGGAGTCTTTAAGCATACCCTCAGCCTTAGAGTAAAATTTTGGGGAAGATGTGATACCTTGTTGGAAAGTTAGAGGACTATAGTTTAACATATCAAAAGATGAGAATTTATGGACATGTGGTCCATCTGCAGTTTTGATAAGACTGAGTGTACCTCAAGTTGGTAAAACGTCAAATTGTGTATTTGTGCTTTGTTGGTTTGTGGGAACCACCTAGCAACCTTAAATAGACGTCGTATGATATTAAGCAATAGTATTTATGATTCCGCAATAGTTTGAGTTACAATCACATTTTTGTAAAATGTTTAATGCGGGTGTTTTATAAAGTGCGAGAATAATTGTGAACGGTGTTAAAAAAAAGTTTCCTCATATCTGTAAATGAACTGTTGTGATTGTAACTGTGCTTAATATCATAATTGATGATAACATATCTGAATGCATACAAGGTATTACACTCATCGCGCCTCTTGAAGAGGTTAGCCCTGAAGAAAGCAAACTAGGTGAAATAAATGCAGCTGCTAATTTTTAACTATTCCGGGAATACGGAACAACCAAATCTGAATGTCTTGGGAAACAACAAAGATTTGGTTCATATTGACATAAAAGTATGCAATAAAACTATATTAATAAGGGAGAAAATATAATAATATTATTTGTCATCGGCGACACCATTGCCTTCTCAGTAGCTCTTGTTATCTCAAGAGATAATCTGGATCCAGAATCCAAAATCATTCAAGATTGCCAGAAGCATTCATATAAGAATGAATGAAATGATGCAATTAAGAAGGAACAAGGGTTTTTGCAGAGACCCTACATCAATTTTGATGTTTATTCTCCCATAATAAATTCTATTATGTTCCATTACTTGATCAGGATGGCAACTAGGATGCATATTAAAATGCATTTAATAGACGTCATGACTATAAGGTCACTTGACGATGATATTTATATGAAAATCCTTGTATGGAAAGAATAAAATTCGTAGTATGTTCAGCATCGAGCTGCAAAAATCGTTGTATGATGGTCTCAAACATATTATTATCTCGGCCTGCAGATCGAGCATATTCTAAAATGATTATTTTATTTTCACCAATGTTATTATATAAGTGACCAAATGATGGTTCATTCACTAGAAGTGAATATAGATCTATTTAGACCAATTAACGAGAAAAGATTAGGACTTGAAGCCATTAATCTTAAACGTCATGAGAACACTATTATACTCTGCAAATTGCAACAGGCCTGATATTGCATTTGCAGTAGAAGTTCTAACTAGACATAATGTGGCCATTTAAGACATTGGAATGATGTTAATCGTATTTTAGTTATCTTCAAGTATTTACACATGATATGGAGATTTTACATTGGTGGAATGTTTTGATGCTGACTATTTGTCTAATAATAATGAATTAGATATGCATTTGTTTGTGAAAGCACTGCAATGCTATGGAAGGCTATAAAAACTAAGCCTACTCGCTACTTTCTCAATAGGTTACTTTCATTAGGGGGAGCGAATTAATTAAGACTATCACTGAAGGTTTATTATTATAATTTTCCTTTCCTAAGGTTTTCTTTGCAAAGGATTTTTCTTGGCTAAAGGTTTTTTTTTTTTTTTTTGTTAAACTAGCTAAAGGATTTTTAATGAGACACTTTATGCGATGTTTTTTAATGATGGATGAATAATAAGATTTCTGCCTCCTACTCTCTCTTCTTTCTCTATTTCCCTCAAATCTCTTCCTATATTTTATAACATGATTGATTTTTTATTTTCTTTTTTTGTCGAAAAATTTCAAAAATTTAATATTATTTAATTTAGGCGTGTAATATCGTACTAAATAATTGCTTGAATGCTAAAATTATTCTCAAATAGTATCATGATTACAAAAGGAATCCAAATTGTTACTAAGTAACATGAAAAACAAATCAATAATCAAAACGTCATTAATGATAATAAATTTAATATTTTAAAATTAGTAAGAATGCTGGAAATCATGCCTAACAATGATTTAGAATATTAATTATCGTTTGATTAACTGAATTCAATATTAATTTACAAAATCATATCATAATAATTATTATGATATTAATTAATATTTAAAAGATAAAAATATGAGAGACAATAAAATTTGGAACATGTTACCATATGGCGAATTCGCTTGCCAAACCTCCCCTGCACAATTAAAGCGTTATATTTATCTTATTTTATATGAGATAATTAAAATTTTTATACATATAAAAATAAGTGGGTTCTATTCTTTTTTTCTCTCTCTCCGTATCTATGGATTCCACTTGCAATCTTGTTTCTACAACATACAATAACTATTTTCCTACAACATAAGAAAATTATTTCTCGCCATTCAATATTTAAAATGTTTTAAAATCACATTAGAATGATAATATTTTTTTTAAATGCTTTAGTATGTGCTTTTGCAATAATTTAGGATTAATAATAAATTTTATTTATCAAAACTTGACTGTAAATTAAATTATACAATTTTCCGTCCATTTATAATAAAATTAAAAGGAGTTATGTTTCTTAGGACATAATTTTATTATCCACAAATACATAAAAATATGTAGGACTCAATTTTGTTCTCTCCTCTTTACATGGCCTCACATGAGCCTTACACATTTTTTTTCTTGGTTTCTAAAGGTATTCTCCAGCCAACAGCCGAAGACTAATTTATTCGAGCAGGAGATTACATTACGTAGGTAAATCTCTCTCAATAATTTTTTTTCCATACACATAGCCAGAGATTGAATCCCTATCAGTATATTTAAGGAACTAGCTATTTACAAACTGTATCGGACTTTGTTGGTAGGCCTTATACACTTTCATGTATAAATGATAAAATTATCTCTTATAACATAAAAAATATTAAATCCAAAATTAATTTTAAATCTCCTAATATAAAAAAGTATGTTCCCAGTAAATTAGATTTGCAAAAGAGTTTATTTTCAAAATTAAAAAAAATTATTTTGATACTATTTATTATTTAATAATGGAAAAATATTTTCTCTAATCGTATAAGAATTATTTTCTCATACCAATGACTCTTCAATTTTCATAGAGTAATTCTTTTGTTTTTTTAATAGATATAGGTTCGTATGAGAAATTTTTATCAAACAACATGAAAAAATTGAAATCCTTTAGTGATATATCATTTATTAGTGATATATCATTACAATTTTTAATCACAATTTTTAATGAAATTTAAATTCATTAAATAATTTAAAATATATTATTAAATAAAACTATAATTTTTTTTTCTTAATAACATATTAAAAATTAAATTCTTACAGTATCACGCTCTTTTAAAAACAACCTTTTATATTTACCGGAAAAAAAAAAACCACCTTTTATTACAAGCACGTGTTTTACAGGACAACATAGAAACAGTACATAAATATTTACCCTTTCACTCAGCACACCGTACAAAACACTGCTTGGTACTTTGTTCCCATAAACTCACTTAAATTTTCAAGCTCTTCCTCACTTGCAGCTTCATCCATCACAAGCTTCAGCAATCAATCACTCCCACAAGGTAACCCCAATTTTTTTTTTTTCTTTTAATGTTGAATTTCTCCTTCTTTTTTCTTTTCTTTTATGATTCTCGTACTTTGTAGTGATTTTCAAGCTTGGTTAGAATTTAGCAAATTGTGGGGTCCATCTATTTTCAGTAAAAATCCCTGCTTGATCTCATTTTTGTTTTGGGTTTCATCTCATCGACAAATTTCTCCTGAAAAGCATCTTATTGTATGACTATTTTGTGTTTTTCTGCAGAAAATGATGAAACTTTCCAAGTTGGGGTTTGAAATGAAGTTGTGAATTTGATTAGTTTGTCTGGTTTGGGCTAAAGGGAAAGAGAAATAAAAGGTTGGGGTGGGGTGGCTTTTGTTTGAGGGAAAAAAGAGGGAGATTTATAACCAAAAAAAGGAGGAAATTTCTAGCTGGTGGAGGTTGATTTTCCGTGAGCTTGATTAAAAAGAGATCTGATAATGGAAGAAGGGTTAGGTCAAAACTCAGTTCCTCCTTCAGGTTCCATTGACAAGTCTAGGATTCTGGATATTAAACCTCTTAGGTGTTTGATTCCTGTTTTCCCAATATCTCCTCAACCTCCACCTTCTGGCCAATATCCTTCTGGGTATTCTCCTTTTTTCCCATTTGGTGCACCTCAGACAGCAAGGGATGGTGCTATACCAGCTCCAATAAGGGCATTTAGGAGCCCCCTAGGGGCAGGAGACACAAGTTCAACAATGGAGGGGTTCAATGATCATGATATTTCTGGTAACAAAAAACATGCAGCATCGCGTTTGAACCGCTACAAATCATCCATAAAGAAATATAAGACAAGTCAAGAGTCACATATTGACTTAAGTGCTTTAGTTAATATTAGCCCCGCGCAAAGAGAAGATGGTATCCGTGAAGTGGTTGATATTACACTCATGACATTTGATGCACTTAGAAGAAGACTCTGCCAACTTGAAGATGCCAAGGAATTGAGCACGGGTTCAATCAAGCGTGCAGATTTAAGAGCTTGCAAGATTTTGATGACGAAAGGAATTCGGACAAACATGAGGAAGAGAATAGGATTTGTTCCTGGGGTTGAGATTGGGGACATTTTCTTTTTCCGAACAGAATTATGTATTGTGGGTTTGCATGCTCCCAGCATGGGTGGGATTGACTCCTTGCATATCAGGGGTGAGTCTGAGGAGGAAACTATGGTGGCTATAAGCATAGTTTCATCAGGAGAATATGACGATGATGCGGAGGATAATGATGTTATAATTTATACTGGTCAGGGTGGGAACTCTAGCTTCAACAAGAAAGATAAGGTCGTGATGGATCAGAAGCTTCATAGGGGTAATCTTGCTTTGGATAATAGTTCACGACTGCACAATGAAGTAAGAGTCATCCGCGGCATGAGAGATGCTGTGAATCCGAATGCAAAAATCTATGTCTATGATGGTCTGTATCAAATCCAAAATTCATGGGTAGAAAGAGCAAAAAATGGCGGTGATGTATTTAAGTATAAGTTGGTAAGAATGCCTGGACAGCCTAGTGCCTTTTCCGTTTGGAAATCGGTTCAGAAGTGGAAGTCTGGCTCCCCTTCAAGGACTGGACTTATTCTTGCGGACCTTTCCGCAGGAGCTGAGAGTATTCCTGTATCACTTGTCAATGATGTTGATAATGTGAAGGCGCCTGCTTATTTCACTTATTTCCATTCTCTTAGACATCCAAAATCATTCAGTTTAACGCAACCCTCCAATGGGTGCAACTGTGCTAAAGCATGTGTACCTGGTGATTTGAACTGCTCTTGCATTAGGAGAAATGAAGGTGATTTCCCATACACTGGCAATGGCATTCTGGTGAGTCGGAAGCAAATGGTTCATGAATGCGGCCCCACATGTCAGTGTTTTCCTAACTGCAAAAATCGAGTATCCCAAACTGGTTTAAAGCTCTACATGGAAGTATTCAAAACAAAGGATAGAGGGTGGGGTCTTCGATCACTGGATGCTATTCGTGCTGGAACTTTTATTTGTGAGTATGCAGGAGAAGTTATTGACAGAGACAAGGTAAGTCATCATGTGAAGGAAAGATATAATGATGAGTATGTTTTCGATACAACCTGTATTTATGATCCATTCAAGTGGAATTATGAGCCTAAGTTGCTGGAAGAAGTGAGTACAAATGACACTAGTGAGGATTATGCTATACCGTATCCTCTAATTATAAGTGCCAAGAATGTTGGAAATGTAGCTAGATTCATGAATCATAGTTGCTCCCCAAATGTTTTCTGGCAGCCTGTCTTATATGAAGAAAACAATCAATCCTTCCTCCATGTTGCATTTTTTGCACTCAGACACATTCCGCCGATGACAGAGTTAACTTATGATTATGGATTTGCTCGATCTGATCATGCTGAGGGTAGCAGTGCACCCAAAGGGAGAAACAAATGCTTATGCGGATCATCAAAATGCCATGGATCTTTTGGTTGACATTTTGTGACTGCTGCTCACAGACTGACATGGTACTGGCAAAAGCATTCATGGCTAAAAAGGTTTGGAAATCTCTTTCATGTTTCAAATCTCCTTATCGATTCAAATCCAATTTTTGTAATAACCAACATCTCTCTCTAACAATTTTCTTTTCAAATTTACTTTTTCGTTTCTTTGTTTTGTTATCTTAAAATTGATAATAATAAGTTTTATGATAAATGTATGGGATATAGGTTATATCTGTAGCTTCACATTTTACCCACACACTTAAGCTGTAGAACAGAAACACTTTAGGAAATGAAATTTAGTAGTGTATGAATTCATGCATCATGTATCATTGTCAATTTTTATTCCTCCCATTTTCTGGAAATGTGTATAAGGACTCATTTTAACAGCACATCAAACTCATGAGAAGCCAAAAGATTTTATGCTAAATGGGTATACTGTATACAGACGAGGTAATTTTGTTACTTTTTACACTATTTTTAATTCAATTTTTCATACTGCTGCTCTTGGGATAATGATATGTTGGCATTTCCTGATTAACTACAAATCAACCAAGCATCTAAGTTCATAATGCCTTGAATTCACTTCAGATGCTGTTGGGGTTCATTATTATGATATTATATATATACATAATAGATGTTGATTAATAGTATTATCATTGTTTTTTTACTTTGTTGACATGTGCATGTATATTTGTGTGTTGATTGAAGTGTTTTCTCATCTGTCTTTATCTTAAACTTTCGATTTTGGTTTATATGGCTAATCAAAATTTTTAGACATGTCTTACTCCAAAGTGTGCTGGCAATTACACTTGTTCTGATTTTTATCTATGAAACTTACATATTTGTTAGCAAATGATAATGCTTTCATTATCTCGCCCAGGGAAGCTAATTGTTCTTTCCGTGTATCTTATTTTGATTTAACAGGTGGATGATGACATTATATATCAAGTGCCAGATCCAGTTTTAGAAGTTCCAGTTTAGTAGATGTTTGCTCCCAAATATTGTGGTCAAGTTTTAGGTGTGTTAGACTATAAATAAATCATATGAGTATGGCCCTTTTTTTGGCTCCAACTTTATCTAAATAGTCAGTGAAGTGGTATAATTTTGTAAAATTTGCGCTGGGAATGGCCACAATGCACTAGAAAGTATAAAACTAGTGATATGCATCCTGACTTTTATCTCTGACTTTGTCCTCTTTACATGGATCTGTTGTTATGTAATTAATCTTGCTTAGAATTCTAGAATGGTTTTATTTATTTTTCACTCTTGGGATTATAGAAGCCAATTTGTGAAACCAAGTTGTCATGTCTCACCATTGAGTGAACTAAGTTCCACTTATGTTTATTAGAGAGATCTTACTATGTGCAGTAATCATTAGGGTTAATTCTTGTGTTTTGGCAAGTTGGGTGTGTAGATTAGGGAGATTTTGGTACTGTGTCAATGTCAAGCTCTATCAACAAATATAATCATATTAAGGACTAAAAGATCACCTTGTCAAGCCACTAAGGTTAGCCTAGTGACGAGGGGTGTGGGTAGTTATGTAATAGGTTGTGTTCAATTCCTCAATGTATCCAAAAAAAAAAAAAAAAAAAAAAAGATCACTTTGTCTCTTAACAAAGCTAAAACCACTCACCCTATCAAACATACTAGAAACAATAAAGGGAGGAAAATGATGAACATTTCCACAAAGCTAACTCACCTCTTCTTTTCCTAGGACACTGGGTGACAAAATTCTCTCTATCAAGTTTTATCACAGCTGCATTTTCAAAGACTCGAACTTGAGATTAGTGGTTAAGTTGGAATAATCTTTATTAGTTGATCCATGTGTTTGGTGGTATATATAAAGGACTATAAAACACATCAATTCCTCTATTCCATATGCAATAAGCACTTAACTAGTTTGTACCATTTACGTGCTTGGAAAAAACGTAGTGTTAGGTTGCTTGAAGAAGAAACTAGTGGTTAGTGAGAGCCCAAAGGTAATCAACTAGTGGTTAGTGAGAGTCTTAGTTATACATAAAGAAAATTTTAAAAGGTACTCAAAATTCACCAATAACAACATGGGTCAAGTGTACATAGATAGACTAATGTAATGTTTTGTTTAGAGTGGAGCACAAACGAGGTTTGGATTAAATAATTATCAAATATATTGTAAGAAGATATTTGATGTCATTATGAAAATCAAGAGGAACCATGTTCCCATCAAATTTGAATATATGACATCCAATTCACAAGGTTTGAAGTGGATAAGGTACTCAATCCGATTGTATAGAAAGGTGGATAGAACTTAGATATGACATGTAACAATTGAACATATGCACTTGTCACTGTGAGAGGTTTCGAGCATATAAATATTTGTGCTTTCTTGTTATAGTTGTATGAATTTCTATCAATTTCTGAATTCTTACAAAATATTGTTGATGTGAATTTTGGATGATGATAAATTATTGGTATATCAATAAATATACATATATGTATATAAAATAGAAAATAAGATTTAATATAATAAAGCATGACAACATTAATTAAAAAATAATATTTTTATGTTTGCCCCTAATCCGGTCTCTTGGGCGCGTTAATTTTTTTACTGTTCATTTATGTTCTTTATTGTAATTTCTTTTGTTATTTTCATTCATTTAACTTCAATATAAGTTTATCTCACAAAAAAAAAAAAAAACACTTCTATATAAATTTAGCTTTATTATTATTATTTTTTTAATTTTTCAAATTCTATTTGGAGCATTTTTTTAAAAACTAAAACTTACTTTTAATCTAAAGTTAAAAAATAAGCTTAAAAATAAAATTAAAAATTGTTTGGTAATTAATAAATTATGGGATTAGTGTTTCTCATGTTGTAGGAGATAAAATTTTATCTCCTACACACATAAAAATATGTGAGACTCATAATTTCTTTTTATTTTTCTTCTCTTCATATGGGCCTACATGGGTACCACACACTATTATGTGTATGCAAGAAATAATTTTATCTCCTACTATATAAGAAACATTAATCACATGAATTATTAGCTTAAAAGTTATTTTAAAGCTTAAACTAAAAATTAGTTGTTTGCAAGCTCTGAAATCATCATGAAAAATATGATAAACCTCCATTATTTAGACAAACACAAATATGATAAGAAATATTTTTTTTAAAAAAATAAAGATTTTAAATAAAAAAAATAGATCATAGAATGAATAAAATTTTTTATTAAAAGAAAGTTGAATAAAAAATATATATTCAAATGATCTCTCCCCATATATATATATATACTTAAAAAAATTTGGATGCATCAAATCACAATAATACACACGACTCTATCCTTTTTTGGTGACATTATTATGATTTTGGACAAAATGACGAGATCAAATGTTTTGTTATTAAGATAGAGAATGAAATTATAAATATAAATTTATAATAAAAAGATAACTAAAATTTAAATATGAAGATGAGCTTTTTCTCTTATTTATTATAAAAATATATTTTGCTAAAAAAATTGTTAGTATTTATCCTTTTAAACGGTATAGAATTATATTATTTTAATTAAAATTACTGTATTTTATAAAAAGAAAGTTAATTACACAATAAAAATTATAGTGAAAATGTGAACTATTTTTTTAATTTAAATATTAAATAAATAATAATAATTTTAACTAAAATAATTACCCTTTTGACAAACAATTTGTTGCTTTGCTGAAAGGTGAGGAGAACCAAAGAAAATAAGCAGCCAAAGGTGCTCTTTATGCTAAAAAAAATGGGAAATGGATCCTCTCGATTGAAAAAAAAATATGACGTGGTCATGTGAGAAGATCACAACCATATAAAGGTAAATCAACGGTTATGATTTTGTAACTATTTATTTTAATATTTTTCTCTCTACTTTTGTATGATTATGATTTCCCACATAATATGGTAATGTGATTTTTCACATTAGAGAATCCAGATGCAAAAAATCAATCGAAAGGAAACAGAGGGAAAAACCAAATAAATATCGCAATGAGCGCCAAAATTTTGTTACAAACAAATGAAAAACAACCAAAAAAAAAAAAAAAAAAAAGTTCAACAAAATCAAAGTTCCATTCCCCCTTTCATTCTATGTAACTATTCATCTCTCACAGCACAGAACACACCCATATGAATTATTTTACAAAGCTTTTTTATTGCATGAAATGAAATTGGAGTTCACCACTTTCTTCTTCACACTATTATGAGCATGCATCATCATCACCACAGAGGGGACATAGTGTTTGCAAGGGTTCAATTCCCTCACCAATGGTGTCCCGCACTCGTTCTCCGTTCCGACAACCTCGGCGTCTTCGTCTCCTTCTTCGACGACATCATCTCACCCTCGTACTTCGTGGAATCCGAGGTTGTCCCCTTCGAGGAAGCATTCCCTTCCCTAATGTCCCGTCACAACAACAGCTATTACAAATGTGACACGTTCCGCGCGTCGCTTCACTCTGCGCTCAGGTTGTTGGGTCAGAGGGTGATTTCGGGTTTGCGGTGTCGCTGTCAAATGGGGCAGACACAGAGGAAGAGGATTGAAAATGGGTTTGGTGGGTCGGGTTATTGTTTTGACCCGAATGGGGTTTTGGGTTTTGTTTTGAATGCAGCTGTTTCGCCTTGGGTTGAGACCCCTCGTTTTGTTGATGCTGTTAGAGTTGTTGCTCAGCTTCATGCTTTTCGAAGTTATTGTTCTATTCAGCAGAGGAGAGTGTACAGAGAAACCCAAAAAACAGGTTTTTTCTTCTTTTTGATTGAGGTGTTTTTATTTTCTTGGCTGGGAATTTTGATTGAAATGTTTGATTACTGCATTTTACTGAAACAACAAATAGGGACACTAATGGAAATTAGGGGTTAGGGATTGTGCATGGTTGGTGCGGTTTTTCTATTCCAAATCAAAACGAACCGGTTTTAGCCGAACCAAACTAGTTTTTTTATCAACCGGTTTTGGTTCGGAACCGGTTATAAGGCAAAAATTAAAAAATAATGAAAATACTAATAGTTAAGGAAAAAAATTTGATTTGGTTCCTTTGATTCTCAAACTGATTCGGACAAAGTGGTGTGTTCATTGAACCGATTTTAAGGCAAAATTATTGAAATAAAAAATAATAAAATGCTTGTAATTAAGGGAAAAAGAAAATTGGTTCGGCTTTTTTGGTTTTCAAGCCGGTTCAAATAAAGTGGTTTGTGTTGGGTTTTAAACTTTATTTGAATAAAAGAAAATAGAAAATGAAAGGTTTTGTGGTGAAGAGGTATGTCCCTTAGGAATTTGTTAGTGGTCAATTAATGTGTTTAGATTTCCTAAGTTAGTCATTAGTATTTCTAGTTATTTGCTATTGCTTTTAAATAGTACCATGTAAATCATTTGAATGTAAGGCTTGAATGTTAAAAGATATACAAAGAGGTATATTCAGAGAACTCCTTGTGTGTTTAAAGTGTTTTGTGAGAAACACCATTAGAGGACCTGCGATTCACAAATTGGTATCAGAGCTTGAGTTATGGAGAGTGTGAGCACTTCCAGTATGTCGTTGCCCCGCCTGACAAAGGTGAATTACGTGAATTGGAGTATCCAGATGAAGGTGTTGCTCGGATCCCAGGATGCTTGGGATGTTATTCATGACGGTTTTGCTGAACCTGCAACCACTGCAGGATTTACAGCAGCTCAAACCAAGGCGTTGAAAGAGACGCGTGCGAAGGACAAGTCGGCCTTATACATGCTTTTCCGAGCTGTAGACGAGTCCGGATTTGAGAAGATAGCAGGAGCAACGACGTCTAAGGAAGCATGGGACATCTTGGAAAATGTCTATAAAGGTGCTGACCGAGTAAAGCAGGTCCGACTTCAAACTTTACGTGGCGAGTTGGAAGGCATGAAGATGAAAGATTCAGAGGGTGTATCCGAGTTCATCACCCGAGTTCAAGCCGTGGTGAATCAGTTAAAGCAGAATGGTGAGCAGATATCAGAGACTAGAGTTGTTGAGAAGATTCTGAGGTCGCTGACCGACGACTTCGAAAATGTGGTATGTGCAATTGAGGAGTCGAAGGACTTGGCTGCGCTTTCTGTTGAAGAGCTAGCAAGTTCCCTTGAGGCGCATGAGCAGCGCAAGAAGAAGAAAAAGGAGGAGTCGCTGGAGTCCAGCGAGCACTCCAGACAAAAGCAACCATTAAAGATGAGAAGGCGCTCTATTCTCAAAATGTCCGAGGTAGAGGTCGTGGACGAGCTGAACGTGGAAATGGCCGTGGTGGTCGTGGCCGAGGTCATGAGGTGAGAAATGAAGAAAGAGCTCAGTCGAGTCAGAGAGGAAGAGGACGTGGCCGAGGTGGAAGAGGCCGGTGGTCAAATCAAACAAATGTGGAATGTTACAAGTGTGGCAAGTATGGCCATTACTCAAGAGATTGCAACTCGGACAAGTGTTACAACTGTGGCCGAGTTGGGCATTTCGCTAAGGATTGCCGAGATGAAAGAAGAGTTGACGAGGCTTCAAACCTCGCTGTAGAAGGAGATGGAGGAGTTCTTATGCTAGCCCATGGTGAAACCAGTTCAAAGAATGAGACGGAGTGGTATTTGGATACCGGTGCCAGTAATCACATGTGTGGTTACAAACACTTGTTGAAGGAGTTGAAGACGGTGGAAGCCGGACATGTCTCTTTTGGAGACGCGTCCCAAATTAAAGTAAAGGGCCGAGGTACGATCTGTTTCTTGCAAAAGGATGGACGAGTTGGTATAATCCGGGACGTGTATTACGTGCCCGAGCTCAAAAGTAACATATTGAGCATTGGACAGCTGATGGAGAAGGGTTACTCGATTCTAATGACAGACCGAGTTCTACTGTTGAAAGATAAACAAGGGCGTCTGATAGCCCGAGTTCAGATGGAAAAGAACATAATGTACAAGCTGAGTCTAAGGAGCATGGAGGTCGGCTGTCTGCAAGCCGGGGTAGAAGATAAGATGGACTTGTGGCATAGACGGTTTGGACACCTTCATTATGGTGGTCTGACCGAGATGATGAAGAAGGACATGGTAGTGGGACTACCGAAGATTAATTCTGAAGGAAGATTTTGCGAGGACTGCGTATTGGGAATGAAGGATGGTAGAGATATTAAAGTTTAAGGAGGAGTTTTGTTGGGTTTTAAACTTTATTTGAATAAAAGAAAATAGAAAATGAAAGGTTTTGTGGTGAAGAGGTGTGTCCCTTAGGAATTTGTTAGTGGTCAATTAATGTGTTTAGATTTCCTAAGTTAGTCATTAGTATTTCTAGTTATTTGCTATTGCTTTTAAATAGTACCATGTAAATCATTTGAATGTAAGGCTTGAATGTTAAAAGATATACAAAGAGGTATATTCAGAGAACTCCTTGTGTGTTTAAAATGTTTTGTGAGAAACACCATTAGAGGACCTGCGATTCACAGTTTGGTTCTTGAACCGGTTTTACATAGAGTGATCTGGTTCTTCAACTGATTCAAAAAATGTGGATTTTTGGTGTGTTTTAGTTTGGTTCACTATTTAGTTTGTTTCTTTTGGATTTTTTCACACCCAAGTGGTACGAGGTATTTTTTTTTAATTAATTTTTCTGGTTGTTATTTTTGGAGGGTCAGAGAATTGATAATTTTATTGGGGGAGTGTGAGTTTGATATAGTATTCGAGTTTATGGACAGTTTGTAATATATGAATTTCTTAACAGTGTAGTTAATGTGGTTTGAGCCTTTTGAGGATTACCAGGCACTTTGATTTGAGAGATTGCTGGAAAAAGACAGTGATTGTTGGCTAATTTAGATTGTAAATTGCAAAGGCATTCTTCAGTTTTCTTGGTTTTAAAATTTGGCCTAAGCTTGAATGCATGAGTCAGGTGTGCTTCTAATTCTTCTTATAGTAGTTCATCTCTAGAGTGTATAGACCATATCTGATCTGGGTAATATCATCAAAAGGCAAAGATGCAATTTCTGGTTGTAAATCTATGATCACTTAAGCTGTTCTTCTAATTGTTGTTGCGATGACCATCCGTACTTTGAAATTAAAAGCATTCTAATTTATGGCTTTGGTGAGTTAAGGTTTACCATTTTCTTGACATAACGAAGCTGTTAGTCCTCCCCATACGATGATAGTATCTTGAATTTAGAAACTTCTATGGAAATGACTATTTTGCATGTTCCAGCGATGGTGTTACCCCTATACCAATCTTTTTTTGGACTGAAGTATGCTATTTACTGAACTTTAGATATTAATTATGGAGAAGGATATTGTAACAACCAATTAGTGTTACTATCAATGTTACTACCAATCAATTCCACCGTTAGATCGATTATGTTAATCCAACGGTTATATTTATTTCCATATTTGTATAGTTATGATTCTTCATATTTAATACTTTATATTTATTTTCACCTTTGTATGTATGGTTATGATTTCTCATATTTAATGCTTTCACAATAAATATGAGGAATCATAACCATACAAAGATGAAAATATATATAACCGTTGGATCAACATAATCGATTTAACGGTGAAATTGATTGGTAGTAACATTAATTGGTTGTTACAATATCCTACTCCATTAATTATACCTTGTTATTATATAATTTTTATCCATGTTTATGATAGGTAATAATGTGAAGCTGCGTCCATGTTCATCTATGGTTCAGGAGATGCACCCAGTTACTCTTGACTCTGTTGCTTTGGAACCCAAGGAAGAATATCAGATCATCTCCAAATTGGGGGAGAAAAACATGGCTACTGTTGCTATAAAGGGAATGAAGTCGACAGATTCTGTTCCTGAAGGAGATTCTGAACACTTGTTTAAGAATAAACTTCTGATTGTTCCAGAGATTCCAACTAACAATGGCAAGAATGAACTTGTTATACACTCTCCTGCTTTAGATCCATTTTACATGGTGGGAGAAAGCCTAAAATCTGAAAGGCATAGCCTTCTGAGATTTAAGAATATATCAGACCCGGGCATGGTTGATATCTGGTTTGGAAACTGTTCTACGATGAGTGAAAATCATTTCTATGTTCCTTCCAATTTTAAGACTCATTTGAGAAACTTTATCAATAAAAGAAAAGACAATGCGCTAGAGTTTTGCTGCAGATTGTCTGATATAGAAACCACTATATACCTCACCAGGAAAAGAAGGCGACTAGATGAACCTGCTTCATGTGATGTTTTTCCTCAAATTTGCAGAGTTCAAGAAACTGAAGGGAATGCATATATCTCAAAATATACCACTACCAGACCTAGGATCTCACACATCAAGATGCTTGAACCTGAAGAAAGTAGCCAGAAAGATAATCAGGCCGGCACATTCTTTTGTGAAACTAACATGAATTTCACTGATGAGGTTCAGAAAATGGATTTGAAAAGAAGTCAAAATTTGACTTTACAGGAGTCTTTTACCTGTGAATCATTGTCTAACTTAGTCCTTGGCTTCCATTCTTATAACTGTGAGATTGATGCTAGTGCTGCAAAAGTTAAGGGTGTATTAAGATCTAATTCTTCTATTTACCAGAAGAGGCTGCAAATAAGCTGCAATGGTGATACAACAGCTCTTAAGTCAAAAAAGTCAGAAAGCGTAAAATTATCTCCTGTGGATTGTTTGGTGGAGGGTAAGGATTGCTACCAACGTGTTGCTTCTTCTTGTTCAATATTCAATTCAAAAGTTGGACAGCAATCAAAAACACATGTCCCTTTGTCTTCTACATCTTTGTACATGAAGTTCCCCAAGAATTTCAACCTTCCATCAAAGGGACAGCTAATAAAGAAGTTTAGTGTATTTGGCTCAATAGATTCTTCAAAAACAAGAGTCTTTTGGTACACTGGCTCAGCTAAAGTGGCATTTTTCCAAGATGTTGATACAGTTGCTGCATATCTATATGTCAAAAAGAAGGTCTGGTTTGGTGAGGCTAATGTCCGGTTTTGGCTTGACCCTTTTGAGCACAAAAGAAGAGGATTCAAACGTTTTGCTCTGAAGTCCCCATCAGCAAGCAAACCAATAGGACCACCGCTAAAATCATGTCTGAAAAAATCCAATCCCTCGGGACAGGAAAATAGTAAGAAACGTTACAAGGTAAGATTTACAATAGAAACTTAGTTGACACAAATTTTCTGTATGAAGGATGGCATACCCTATATATTGAAGTTTTTTTGTGCTCATCTTTGTTCCTTTTCACCATGGATAACCAAAGCCAGATGCTTCATCTCATATCATCTAAAGTTATATACTGGATTGATATGAACAGATCAATATTCTACAATGTGTATGTGTATCATAGTCTTGCCAATGTTATTGGGTTATTGTTGTGTCTCAATGCTGCTGAGTGCTGTTAAAACCGGATTTTTGTATTGTGCCAAAAAAGTACAAAAAAAATAAAAATAAAAATCTTACCATGCTTTTACTTTGTAACCAAATCTAAGATCTGAGTAAGTTAATAACTTGTTGGCTTTAGAGGATTGGGCTTGGAGGGGTAAATATCAATCCTTTTATTAAACGAACCAGCTCGGTTTGGCCCACTTATAATGGACGTATGATAAGCGTATACTCCTCTATTTATGAAACATTAAAGTGGAATCAACATCATTTCACACCCTCGTTCTCACACCCTCGTTCACAACAAAGTTGTTAGAGTTTGTGTAAACTCGTACAGTCCAATAAACTCGCAATTTGCAAACTAAAATTCCCCCTCTGATAGTTAACTTTTATTAGCATTTTCTTGTACATTTGTGTTATGTTTCCACTCAACATCAATCTTCCTTGCCAGAGCATTATTTAGAATTAGTAACTATGTTGTCTAAGGATCAAAGACCTTTACCCAAAAGCTTCAAACATGTTGATATTGGAATTCATAGAATCAAAATCCAAATATGGTATAAAGATGACGAAAGGAAAATGAAGAAATTGAAAAACTTATACATTTTGATCCCTGAGGCCAAAACTAATATGTGGAGTTTGGTTCCATCATGCATTTTGACTTGAGGTTCATTTTAAAACAAATCCTCACATCTTTATGTTAAAATTATCCTATTTGTTGAGAGAGATAAGAAGTGGACTGTGAATAGAAAACTAAATAACTGGTAGATAATGTAATCCAGTTGTCGTGACCTAAGTTGCAACGTGCTGTAATCCAAAATTTTAAAAATTAAATTAAAATAAAATAAAAATTATTATTTTAAAGGATACGATTTTGTGTAATCTTAATTAGGACGACCATATTTTAATACAAAATATATATCAAAATATGGTCATTTCATTTAAAATGACACAAAATTATATCATTTAAAATGATAATAATTTTTCCCAATTAAAATTTAGTCAGAATCAAGACCAATTTTATTTAATTTTAGATATATACTATATCAAATAATCACATGAAATTACATATTCCAAACTCAAATGATATCAAATCTAATCCTAATTTTCTTACATCTAAAATCTCCGATGTCCAAACGCAATAATTCCAAAAATATTTCAAGCTGCCATTTATAGTTAACCTGCGGGTTAAAAGGGCTAGCCGAAGATACTCACATTTTTAGAGGCCCCATTCTCGTTCTTTTTAATGGGCTGGCCCAAAAAGTTAAATTAATTCATCTTGCATTTTGGTGCTATCCATTAGCAACAAGCATCGCCGTTACAATCTCAACACTATTGCACACAAATAACCTTAAGATGCTTCACCCCTTATGCAAAATTTACTGATATCAATCATCAATGTAACTGCTCTGTGGGTGCTTTCTTCTTTTCAGTTAGGAATGGTTTGAACATCAACAACACTCCAAGTCCTTCAACAACATTGAGGACAAAGAAGACCAGATGGGTGCCTGCCATTGGAATGTACAACAATGAACTTCCATTAATATAGCTAGCAAAAGAAAACATGTCCCTAACTATATTGACATAGGGAATGCACCCTTTCATTTACCATTTTAACATAATCACATTATATAAAAAATCTTAGTCATTCATTAATAAATCAATGGTTAGCAATTACCATGATCATTTCCTCTTTTTTCATTTTGCGAATTGTCGTTAAGACTATAACCGTTGATATGTTAATCAACAGGTTAAGTTTTTTCACATAACGTGGCTATGTCAAAATGAGACATGATAATCCATTCCCATTGATATCTTAGTATAGCTAATTAATAGTTCATAGTCAACTACAACCATCCTATCCACCAAAAAAACTAAAAGAAAAAATAAAATGAATACACAGCTTAAGAGGGTGGAACAAGAGTTCACACATGTTATTCTAAAATTGCATTTTCTTTCTTTGCTTTAGTTCAAGGTAAAAACGGCCTTTTAACCATATTGATGCAAAACATAAACTATTTCACCGGTTTAATTTTTTTGACAAATTATTTACCAATCTAATGCTAGTGAAACGAGCATGAGAAGTGAGCGTGTTTAAGTCGTGCATCACCCCATGTGCAACGTGTGCAAAAATCAAGCAATGCAAGACGCGCATTTTGGGTATGCGCATTCAAGTCGCACATTCACCCCATGCTTGTCTTGCAGAGTGCAACACATGGCAGATGCGTTTCACTCGTATTATATTGATAAATAATTTGCCAAAAAGATTAAACCAGTGAAATGTCTTGGATTCCGCATCAGAATGGCTAAAAAGCGGCTAAAAACTCTTTATGCAGTACAAGAGGTTAGTCATGTTATGTTCTTTCCTATTAATGAACACACTATGAGTGAACTTGACAATTAGATTAAGGATTTCAAAATTTAGCATCAGATATAGAAACCAGCTCAAACAAATTAGTTGAGCATCATACCTGGGAGGAAAGAAGCATTTAACCGCTTTTGTGACAAAGCTAATCTGCATTGACCAAGAGCAAAATCAGAATACTAGATATAATTTTCATTTTATCATTAAAGTCAGAAAGTATTGTTGATTAATGTTATATGCCATACTCCCAGCAGCACAAAATATTTTACGAATGAACATTTATCAACTGCAATTAGATCAGAAAGTAGAGAAAGTTAATCTCCATAACTCACTTACTATAACTGATGAAGTTCAATCTAGTCTACACACAGTTAGGTTTGAAAGCAAATTTGTATGTTAATCCATTTCAGGTTCTTATTATGTCCTTATCTGGAAACAACCTTCTATATTTTAAAATAATCACATTTTACGTCAGCAACTGATCCAATTTGTCAAGCCTACAATATCTATTCCTGCTGTTAAACTACAAGTCTAATAAAAGTCTTGAACACAGAAGACTTGACCATATCATAAAGGAACTTAGCAGCATGAACTTTCGGACAGAAATGACTTATGAATATTCTATTAAAAGACCCTCCATATTAAACCTCGACTAGCAAGGGTAGGGGTCAACGCAATTCTTTTATACAGTCTTATCCTTACATATTTGCAAAAAGACTGTTTTCCAGATTCGAAACAGTGACCTTGGAGCAAAATTACCACTATTCCAAGCCCGCCCTCGTGCACTTACGAATATTCTATATAACAGAAAACAAGTATGTTGAGATATATAGTCCCACATTGGTTGTATGTGCAACTAATGTGGCCTTTATAAGGCCTTGGGCACTCCCACCTTTTGAGCTAACTTTTGGGGTGGTGTATCCCAAGGTTCTTTACATGGTATCAGAGCCTCGCCGCCCCCCACTTTCTCTTGTGGAGTTTCTTAGCACAGGTTGGCTGAGCCTGTTGCATTGTCCACGCTTCAAGCCCAATGGGCTCTCGTGTGAGGGGGCGTGTTGAGATATATAGTCTCACATTGGTTGTATGTGCAACTAATGTGGCCTTTATAAGGCCTTGGGCACTACCACCCTTTGAGCTAGCTTTTGGGGTGGTGTATCCCAAGGTTCTTTACAAAGTACAATATCTACAATACACCATTTTTAGGAAGACTTATTTAAAACACTGATCTCCTATTGAGATCCACAATCACATTTAATTAACAATGACTCATAAGTCAAATAGAAGCTAAAGAAATCAAAGGGATACTCACATGGCACCACCTGCGGCTGGTCCAATTACTTTACATGCTGACATAGCAGTCATAGAAATGCCATTAGCTACCCCCCTTTGATGTTGTTTCTGTTTTTCCAAATCAACATGCCATGTATGTCACAATTCCATTAAAATAAAAAATCTCAACATTTGTAAGGAAACAAATGTAAAAGACCTGAGTCAAAAATTTACCACTGCTCTATTTTGCAGAATTAATAAACCAGTTGAAATTATCTCCTATATAAGTCCAGTAAAAAGAATAAAATTAGGCAAGTTTAATGAACATAACCTTTTGCAATAAATTAAGCTGATCTTACAAGGTTTAGTGAAGTCAATTCCATTCATTTACACCCTCAATATCGCTCATGATTGGTTATATACTTAAAGAGGTTCACTTACAGTGGTCAGATTCTTTAGAATGGAAGCACTATATATCACTATGTGCAGTGTTAAGCCTGACAACATTGTCATGAAAGGGTAGCTTTGCAAGATGGGTATGGATAACACCTACACATGATGCCAAATAACAAGACATGTTTTAAAATAAACAAACAATGAAATGCTGAATCACAGTAATTGCCACAAAAAAAGAGAAAGTTAACCCCTGCAATGCGAGCAAGGACAATAGGTCCACAAACTTTTTGCACTGATTGGTATAGGCCAAGCTGGAAGATTATAATAGCAAGACCTGACCAGTTGAGAAATCAGTAATTAAGCAGCATATCTATCAAGTAATGCACAAAAAAATAAGTGTATATCTTTGTTTCTATGCAAATCCATGAGAAAAAATTTAATAGAGTTCAAGTGTATATATATTATGTTATGTTATTGTTGAAAATATACAAGGTTCCTTGATTTGTGTAAAGAACCAATTCAACCCAAAAGCTTAAGCTAGTGGGTGAGGGCTTTTTAATGGTTTTATATATCTCAACACGCCCCCTCACACGAGAGCCCACTGGGCTTGAAGGGTGGACAATGCACAGACCCACCTACTTGTGCGAACAAAGAAATTCCACTTGAAAGAAAGTGGGGGGCGGCGAGGATCGAACCCGGGACACGAGGCTCTAATACCATGTAAAGAACCAATTCAACCCAAAAACTTAAGCTAGTGGGTGAGGGATTTTTAATGGTTTTATATATCTCAACAATTTGCAAGGGTGGGGGTGCACGCAGCCTTACCCTTGCATATTGCAAGGAGGCTGTTTTCCAGACTCGAACCCGTGACCTTCCGATCATAAGGAGTAACTTTACCGCTGCTCCAAGGCTCACTCTCTTGAAATTGTTATTGATGTGAAAGTTTAGTATGTACAAGTGCAATTCTTGAAGATTCATAGATGTCAAGGATGTACCTGATATAGCAAGAACATTACCAACAACATCAGTTGTAAAGTTCAAACCGCCTAACCTTAGAGGACTCACAGCCCATAATGAGAAAACCTAACGAAAATGTAGAATGGTGTTTGGTTACTTATAGCCAATTAGAAGAATATCAATTTGTAGAAAACAAAAAGAAGTCAAAACAGCAACGTCTTTAAGCAGGAATAATAATACCTCTGAATAAGCTATATCATGAAGTGCAAAAACACAGTAAACAATGATAGATGACATTAGGGGCCAATTTCTGAGGATGCTTTCATCTTTTTGGATCAACTTGTCTTTGTTAACCCCACTTTTTCCACTTTCTAAAGCTTCAGTGTTGTCAGTGGACTCACTATGGTTGTGAAGTGTCTCCTTCAGTAATGCAATTATTTTAAAACAATTTAGTTGACAGAGTCATGAACCAAAAACTTTTGGAAAAAGGCACGTGAATGGTTTTATTATATCTCTGACATAAATAAAAGGAAAAAAGGTGCTACATTCTGATATGTCATCATATTAAGGTCAGAATAAAGTCACAAAACATAAAAAATGCAAAGATATCTGTGATTAATGTAATATACATACTGGAAGCCAGATGCAAGAAATTGCTACAGGAAGTGCAAAAGCTGATATTATAAAGGAGGGCAAGAAGTATGGAAACCTGCAGAGAGATTTAAGATTTGACTAATGAAATTCAGTACAACAAAGGAAAAAAAGTAGAAAGAAGGAAAGACAGAATTGAATCAGCTTTTTATAAAATTAAAAAAATAATAAAAAATGTACTTACTTATCCCAAAAGGAACCATTTGTAAATAGATGTGGGTATTTGACTGCTGGCTACAATACAAGATTTCAAAATGTATCAGAGAAAAAACCATTGCTTGTATTCTTAAGGTCATGGAGGGTTGAGGGCATTCTTGTATTCTTACCCTTGCATATCACAAAAGAGCAGTTTTACCACTACTAGAAGCTCACCCTCTTCACGCAAAGGGCAAAAGGAAAAAAGGGCAAATCCAAGTGCACAAATCTCCCTGACTTGCAAGAGTGGAGGTGAGGATCGAGTGACCTTCCGGTCACAAGGAGCAACCATAACGCTGCTCCAAGGCTTGCCCTTTTCCCACACTGAAGGAAAAAATAAATGAAAAGTTTACCTGAGCCAAATAACCTCCCAATGCTGGCCCAAAGACTAAACCTACACCCCAAGCTGCAACCACCTGAAATCAGATCACACTTTGAATTATTATGATCAACAAGTGCTTCCAAGAAATAATAGTAGGCAAAGGTTACTGAGGCTTACGGTAGAGAGTCCTAGAGCTTGGTATTCTTCTCGAAAAATTTCAGTAGAATAAGCCTGTTAATACAATAGAATATGACATACATATATTATAAACAGATACCCAAGTAAACAAATTCCAACTTTTATTTGTGCCATATGTTAATGGATGAAATGAAATATTAGGTATATATAGTGATGGAATGAGCTGTAAATTAGGAATGAGCTGTAAAAATTAGGAATGATTTGTAAATTAGGAGTATGTTTAGCGATTCTTTGTAATTATAGGTCTCTAATCATGAGATTTGATTTAGAAATTATTTAGGCAAGAATTACTCTATGTATATAAATTTGTAATGTTACCTCATACTGAAATATATGATTTGCAGACAGAAATTTTGACATGGCATCAGAGCAGGTTCGTCTAAGAACCTATGACCTGAATTTTCAAAAATTGACATGACCTAGATTTTTTTGTTCTTCTATTCTTCTTCTTCTCTCTTGAACAGCTGCTGCCCCAAACTTCCATAGCCACCATCATCCTCAACCTCCACCATCTCTTCCACTCATCGCACCTACCAAAATACGACCTCCCAAATCTAAAAAAAACAAAAAAAAGAATCCAATCCCACCATGACTGATTCTTCAGCAGAAGTTGCTACACCTGAAAACACACATGAAAAACCCACCACCGAATTTTTTTGGAAAGCCTTACCACTAAACTTGCCCAAATACTCTCTCAAAACTAGACCCATCACACTACTGCAACACATGAATCCACCCCTGTACCGCAAATCGCTGTGAAACTGAACGGAACAAACTATGGCCTTTGGTCCCAGGTCGTGGAGATGTTTATCACCGGGAAAGACAAACTTGGTTATATCAATGGCGACATACCCGTGCCATTATTGACAGATCCGACATATCGACGATGGAAGATTGAGGATTCAGCCGTGAAAGGCTGGCTGGTTAATTCCATGGACCCGAGTTTAATTTGCAACTTCATTCGCTACCCAACTGCAAAATCAGTTTGGGATGCGGTTGCAACCACCTTCTTTGATGGTACTGATGCGTCTGAAGTTTATGACTTGAAGCGTCGTGTCACAAGGATGCGACAAGGGGGTGGATTGATTGAAGCCTACTACAATAATTTCCAAGCTCTTTGGAGGGAGATTAACTTTAGACGCCCCAATCCGATGCTCTATGTTGATGATATAAAGAAGTTTAATGCCGCTCTGCAGGAAGATCGTGTTTATACATTCCTTGATGGGCTCGATGATCGCCTCGACAAGGTGAAAGCTGATGTACTGCAGATGCAACCGTTTCCTACGGTAGAGCAAGCATATACAAGGGTGCGGAGAGAGGATGTTCGACAAAGTGTGATGCTCTCTAAGGACCATGGCATCTACGATGTTGCAGCCATGGCAGGAAAAGGGGGCAAGGTGACTAACAAAGATCAACCCTACATGTCTTTGCAGAATTCCAAACCAGGAATAGGGCGCTCCAGTTCAAACTCTAAACAATTCTCACAGATAGGGGGAGGCTGCACACATTGTGGAAATCCGAAACAGACGCAAGAAACATGCTTTAAAATTCACGGTTACCCAGATTGGTGGAAAGATTTGAAAGCTCGCAAGCAGGCCGAAACCAAAGGAAAAGCTTCAATGGCCACTGCTGATGTCCCATTACCCCTAGAATCCACAACCATGCAATCAAGTAAGCCACATCTTGGCATGGAAGGTAATGTTGGCTTCCTAGAAGGTAATCTTGGTTGTAGCTTCTTTTCTAGCAATTCCCCTCCAATAAATGGATTATTGATTCAGGTGCTACAGACCACATGACATTTGACCCCCATGACTTAGCTAATCTGAGCAGGCCTAGATGCAATAAGATTATAAATGCCAATGGGAATGAACACCCTGTAATTGGTTCAGGAGTTGTTGAACTTTCATCCACATTTACTTTACCCAACACACTTCTTATTCCTTCACTATCCACTCGGCTATTGTCTGTTGGGCAAGCAGTTGAAGATCTAAATTGTGTAGTTCTCATGTATCCTTCATTTTGTCTTTTTCAGGATATCCGCACGAAGGAGATAATTGGTTGTGGTACTAGGAAAGGGGGGCTGTACTACCTAGATGATGTTAGTCATGGCAGGGTCAATCATGTACAAACCAGTTCAGCTAGTAAGGAGAAAGAGATCTGGTTGTGGCATACTCGTTTGGGACATCCATCCTTTAGCTATCTTAAGAGACTACTTCCTCATTTATTTGTTGGTTTGACAGATTTTAATTTACATGTCATACTTGTATTTTGGCCAAAAGTCATAGAGTGCCATTTCCAATAAGCTTCAATGAAAGTTCTATTCCATTTTCTTTGATCCATTTAGATGCGTGGGGACCTTCCCCTGTTATTGGTATGTCAACAAATCGTTGGTTTGTATTGTTTGTAGATGATTGTACTAGGATGACTTGGCTCTACTTGATTAAAAGGAAAGATGAAGTCACTGCTTTGTTTAAAGCCTTTCACACAATGATTCAAACTCAGTTTGGAGCACAAATAAAAGTATTGCGAAGTGACGTTGGTGGAGAATATATGAATGCATCACTTCGGGAATTTTTTCAGCAGTAGGGTATGATCCATGAGTCCTCATGCCCTGGTACACCCCAACAGAATGGGGTAGCTAAAAGGAAAAATCGACACATTCTTGAGACTGCTAGATCCCTCTTATTTGAGAAACATGTTCCTCCAAAATTCTGGGACAGTGTTGTCGCCACTGCAGTAAACTTGATTAACCGTATGCCCTCTAAGGTCTTGAATTTCCAGACACCTTATCAAGCTCTAAATGCACATGTTCCTTTACCTTCCATCCTCAGTCTTCCACCACGAGTGTTTGGTTGTGTGGCGTTTGTGCATGTACCCCTTACTCATCGAACTAAACTTGATCCTTGTGCTCTCCGCTGCTTATTCTTAGGATATGGAACTCACCAAAAAGGCTACCGTTGTTACCACCCCTCTACCCACAGAACCTATGTTACCATGGATGTGACCTTTGTTGAGACAGATTTTTTTTCTCGGATTCCAATTCATCCTTCCAGGGGGAGGCTAGCACAGAAAGTCTGAATTGGTGGGAGACAAATATTGATACGGAACTAGCTAGAATAGTTGGAGGGACATCTGGAGGAGGAATTTTATCTAGAGAGAATGAGAATTTAAATATTCCTGAGATAGATACAATTGTTACTGAACATGCTACTGAAGACATTATTGCTACTGAGCATACTACTGATACCCTCGCTAAAGATACGACTACTGAACATGTTGGACACATTGAAGCTGAGCTAGAAGGTGATGATATGCCTAGGACAGAACAACCTATCCCTTGTCAAGTACCAGACCAATCTCTAGCGGATATACTTGAGGTAAGTTCCCTTAAAACTGAGAATATTGTTGGTTCTAACACTCCTATGAGATTCAAATTTCCTGACAGGAGAAATCGAGGAAAGCCTCCAAATAGATATTCTCCAGATATAGGAGTAAAACAATCCACCTATCCAATTGCAAATTATGTATCAATAGAAAAACTATCACCATCCTTGAAGGCATTTGTCTCCAATGTATCCTCCATCCATATTCCAAATCGGGTTGAAGAAGCTCTAGAAGACCCAAAGTGGGTTAAAGCAATGGAGGAGGAAATGACTGCTCTCATGAAAAATAATACATGGAGGCTAGTGGAACTTCCAGTTGGAAAGAAGACTGTGGGATGCAGATGGGTGTTTACAGTAAAATACAAAACAGATGGATCTGTAGAGAGGTACAAGACGAGACTTGTGGCAAAGGGGTATACTCAGACATATGGTATTGACTATCAAGAAATATTCTCTCCAGTAGCTAAATTTGACACAGTGCGAGTACTATTATCTATTGCAGCAAATTTAGAATGGTTGCCCCATCAATTTGATGTGAAGAATGCTTTCCTCCATGGAGATCTAGAGGAGGAAATTTACATGGATATACCACCGGGATATTCCATTCCTGGACTGAAAAATAATACAGTCTGCAAACTTGAAAGATCTCTATATAGCCTAAAACAGTCTCCTCGAGCATGGTTTGGTCGCTTTGCAGCAGCTATGAAAAAATATGGATATGCTCAAAGCAATTCAGATCAAACATTGTTCCTAAAGACATGCCAAGGTAATATTACAGCCTTAATAATTTATGTGGATGACATGATAATTACAGGAAATGACTCAACAGAAATTGCTATACTCCAAGCAAAATTATCTAAGGAATTTGAAATGAAAAGCCTGGGTGGTCTAAGACACTTCCTTGGAATTGAAGTGGCACGCTCCAAGGTGGGAATATTTCTCTGTCAACGAAAATACGTGCTGGATTTGTTAGCTGAAGTTGGATTGTTAGACTGTAAACCTGCAGATACACCTATAGTTCAAAGCCACAAACTTGGAGAATATCCAGATCAGGTACCAACCAACAAAGAAAGATATCAGAGGCTGATAGGTAAGTTAATATACTTATCTCACACTAGACCTGATATAGCGTATGCTGTAAGTGTTCTTAGCCAGTTCATGGTGAAGATCATATGAATGGGGTATTACGTGTACTTCAATATTTGAAGACTTCACCGGGGAGGGGATTATTTTTCAAAAGAAATGGCCATTTGGAAGTTGAAGGATACACTGATGCAGATTGGGCCGGGAGCACTTATGATAGGAGATCAACTGCAGGTTATTTTACATTTGTTGGAGGCAACCTAATCACTTGGCAGAGTAAGAAACAAAAGGTAGTGGCATTGTCTAGTGCTGAGGCTGAATTTAGAGGAATCGCTAAAGGTGTGTGTGAACTACTCTGACTTCGAAAGCTCCTATTAGAGATGGGGTTCACCCCAGAATCTGAAATGAGGTTGTTTTGTGACAACAAGGCAGCTATTGATATATCACATAACCCAGTTCATCATGACCGAACGAAACACGTTGAAATAGATCGTCACTTCATCAAGCAAAATCTAGATTCAAAGATTATTTGCCTTCCATTTGTGAGATCAGAAGACCAACTAGCGGACATCTTAACAAAGGCGGTAGCTAGAAAAGTTTTTAACAGCTCACTTGACAAGTTGGGCATTCAAAATATTTATTCACCAACTTGAGGGGAGTGATGGAATGAGCTGTAGATTAGGAATGAGCTGTAAATTAGGAATGATTTGTAAATTAGGAGTATGTTTAGCGATTCTTTGTAATTATAGGTCTCTAATCATGGGATTTGATTTAGAAATTATTTAGGCAAGAATTACTCTCTCTATGTATATAAATTTGTAATGTTACCTCATACTGAAATATATGATTTGCAGACAGAAATTTTGACATATAGTGCGTAAATTGGTAGTACCTTCATTGGTCCCATCAAACCATTTAAACCTCCAAGAAAAAATCTCATAATAACAGCCATCCAAAAACTTGTGCTTAGGCCAAATAATGTGTTGAAAATGACACTGAAATAAAAAAAAGCATCACTGTTGTTAAGGGAAAACATGTAATATAACTTGAAAGAAAGCATCCACCTTAGTCACATATATACTTACACAGAGATAATCCCTATAATAATAACAGGTTTTCTACCATAGCGATCAGCTATTATTCCCCACAATATAGATGTCAAAGATCTTCCAAGCATAAATGCAGATCCTACAACATTTTCAAAGTCATATCAGGATCAGAAATAAAGACTTATGATGACTGAACGCATCATAGAATGGAAGTACTAAAAAGTAATCTTACCCACATAACCAGCATAGGCACTGATATCTTCCTCTCTTTTTACAATATTAAAATCCTTTACCTAAAAGTAAATATTTGTTATATGGTTATCTTAAAAGTTGCATTGTTGAGGATGCATATCATGTGAAGCACTAATTAATTAATATCAATCGTTAAGCAGAGTTTGATTTCTTGATTATTTCAAAACAAAATTGGAAAAGAAGAGGGGAAAGCAAAAAGCAATTAGGAATTGTCATTGGCATATCCAAAAGTTTGCAGTTGTATATTAAAATGTAAGCTATAATACTAGGAATAACAGTGAATGGAACATTATATATTTAAGGAAAGTTTCTGATTAACGCCTCTGAGGATTAGCTGTTACTTAGAGAGAAGTTTATGTCAGTTCATGGGAACAGTAAACAATTATATTTGCAGGCCTAAATTGAAATTTGAAGCGATCTCATTATATGTAAAAATCAGGATCTCATGTGTAAATTTTGTATATATATATCTATCGGTTCATCAATTACACGACTAATCCGGTTACAAGAGGCGGCTCTCCCAAAATCTCCCATTCCAAAGTTTGATGGTCAAGTATACTCCAAAAACCACACAAACAGCTAGAGTTAATAGTTGTGGGAACATCTTTAAAAAAGGACATTATTCTTACACAAAACTTTTTGTTCCTTAAAAAAAAACTGGATCAAAGACTTAAGGCAGAAATTTATCCAATTACAGTAAACCAGAAGGATGAAACCATGTAGTGAAATGGAAGGTAAAAGTGAACCAAAGTTGGTAATAAACTCACCATGAAATAAAGGTAAGGCCAGAGAGATGATATAGGCAGAGCTTTACAACACAAAAACAAAAGAGCCATTAGAGATGAAAAAAATAAATATCTCCTTTTAACATGACCACATAATTTAAGAAATTCCAATCATTTATTACTATCAACAATTAAAAAAACCACCATTCATATGAAATAGTTATGTTCAAATTTAAGACATGAAAGGATTCATTCCAAAAACTCTTATATAATGCTTACAGCCGCACAACATAATGATCCATATATTGAAGATATTTCGAAAGGTAACATCTTTTTTGAGCTCTTTGGCTTGCTCCACCTTACAACCCGGACAATTCTCATAATAATGTTTCTCCAACAATGGCACTCCAATCTTCTCCCGTTCCATGTCTGTAAGAGAACCCCACTTCTTGTTTCCACACAACAATGGTTCCTTCTATATGTAACATCCAACAAAAAAACACAAAAACACAAAAAAAAAACTAATCAGAAGGACACAAGTCCAAGAAAGATAAAGAGCAAATGCTTGAGGACTCAAACATACCCTTCGGAAGGAAACTAACTGTACCTAGAATGTAAAAAGCCCGATTCACTCAGTGAGATAAATTATGTCTTTCATTTCTAAAAAAGAGGATTTAATTGAGTATCAGGGGGTGTTTGATTGAGGGTAAATTTTATGAATAATAGGGAAATGGAAGGAAAGTGAGATAGATAGATAAATGTAAAAAAATATTGTTTGGTTGGAAAAAATTTTACCGGAAAAATTAGGTAACTTTTTAAAAATCTATGTTTGGTTGTAAGTAAAATATAGATGGAGAAATTAGGTATCTTTACAAAAATAACCCTGTTTTTACAATATTTTTACGGGCATGCTACTTCACATTTAACCATATTCCTCTCTATCAATATCATCAATTCATCGATCATCTTCCTTCTTATTTGCTCAACCCTCTCCTCTCGAGGGTTTCTCCTGCTCTCTTTTTTTTTGTTTTTTATTTTGCTTTAATTTTATTTTCCTTATATATCAATTAGTTAGGTTATTTATTCTCTTGTCTACTGACTACTGCAACTCTAATCTCAATAGTCAAAGCTTTTCGTTCCCATCATCAACACAATCGCCCTTAAAGTTGAAGATGGAGCAACACCAACAGCAACAGAGTCGTGCAGAAGCGGGTGCAGAACTGGTGACCAGAGAAGGAAGACAAAACCTTATCAATGCCAGCTGCTGACCACAGAAGGAAGACAAAACCTTATCATCAAGGAGCTAGGGTATAATGGGTGTCCAAGAAATGTGTCAACAGTAGCATACCCGGTTTTTCATAAAAACCCACCTCAATTTTGGATTATAAACAGTGCAGAAACGTTGGTTTCTCAGGCAAAGTTAGGAAAGACATGCAAATTACATAGATGGAGATTTGGAGAAAACCTGTTGAAACAAACGTTGCTTTTCTAAAATCCTTACTTCATATAGATGGGAAAATGTTGAAAAGAGCTAAACCAAACACCACCTCAGGGAATCAAAGAATTTAACCCAAAATACCAAATCAAAGTAGATCCATTTTTTTTCATTCCCGAAAAAAATCATCTTAAAATTACATCATTTTGAATTAATAAAACGTGCTTTTATAATTTTAAAAAAATTAATAAAAGATATTTTGATAAAATTTATATATAAAAAATAAATAAAATTATAAAAATACTCTTTATTAATTCAAAAAATAACATAATTTTAAAAGTCATTGAAAATAATTTATGTCCGGTGAAGAAATAACTTATCATATATAGGGAAGGTCGCACCGACTCAGACACGGCATGTTCAATATGTTCCCAATACATTCTTGATACGACCATTAAATCGTTGATACGATACAATACGTTTCCAATACATTTTTCGATATGCATATTCGGAGTATCGGTGCTTCATAGGAAAATGTTATATTTACAAATTTTTTATTTACAAACTATATTAAGTATAACCGTTCATACTTCAATCAAGAGTGTATGACTGATCATATTTAATGTAATTTATAAAAAATATTTATAAATAAATCCTTTCTATATATATATATATATATATATATATATATATATATATATATATATATCGGTGCAGCTTAGCTACAAAGAACAGAAGAGTAAATGTAGAAGCAATCATAGTAGTTCCCATTTAAAGCACAATGAATGGACCAGCCGTACTACTCTGAAATGAACGTTGAACACTTTTTTTTTTTTTTTGGAAATAGAACGTTGAACACTTTGACAACACTGCACACATCCAAATCAACATGTAAACAGCTCATAAATAATGGGAACTTACGTGGATTATATTATTTTCTTAGATAACAAATTGATTATGTATTGATTGATTAAATTAATATATGGGTTTGATACTTCTCCTTTCAACGAGAAGTATTATCTTCAGTCATACACTCATCAAAATGCGTGCTTTATTTATATTTATTTTGAAGAAAAAAATCTCATGGAACTTACTAATTGTTGTGTCTGCAAAAATCTTGAAAGTTCTGGAATAACATAAGTCATGCAAATCCCTTAATATATATACAGTTAAAATAATTTTTTTAGTTACATTTGAAGTATATTAAATGATAGAACGAACCAATATTATTAAACCTTAATTGTTGATTCATTCATCGGAGGTATCGGGTTAATGGTTAACTCAGTGTTAACTAGTGCGTCAATGGTTAAATCCCTTAAATTGAATTTATATAAAAATATATAAATAAAAATAATATAAAGACTAAAGTAATTTGGTTTGATAATTAGTATAACACTTCGCAGAATTGAAATATATTGTTAATAGTTAAATTATGGGATAGGGGGTTTAATTAGTTAAAATTATGGGTTTTGGGTCAAAATACCCATCAGGGAAAAATGGTAATTTGACAGGAAAATAACCCTAAATTGTGAAATGGTGAAATTAGATATTATTTGATGAAAATAATAACGAATTTGGATTCAGAACCAAATTTGGAGTGGATGGACATTTTTTAGAAAAATTGATAAATGGTGATTTTATCGGGTAAAATATTATGGTACAATTTTATCGAAAAACTCAGAAATGATATTATTGTTCTAGGATTGAATATATGTTGAAAGATATATTTAGAATCAAGAAAAATGATTATTGAAATTATTCGGTGAAATTTGGTGGTTTGGGGAAAATGTACTGAAAGTACATAACTAGGGTAAATCGTAATTTCACCAAACTACCAAATAACTTAAGATTCATCTGTTAAAGTAATTTTAATGGACTTTGATGAATGTTGAAATTTTAACTAAATGAATAATTCATGAATTAAGTGGAGGTTAGTAGCGTAAATGACTAGGTTTAAGTGATGGGTAGATTGATAATTTCACATGCGGGGTCCATCTCACTTAAGCGAGCACTTAGACACATGGGAAAATCAGTTTTCATTCATCTTTCTACTCCCTTCTTCTTGCTATTTTGTGGCCACCATTGGAGGAGTGAGAAAAACCTTCAAATTTTCATAACTTGAGTTGTAGGGCATGGATTTGAGTGATTTATGTAACACCCCGTGTATACCCGGTTTGTTAACATGTCATCGTATTAAGCCACGCTTAATTAAAAATGCGGAATATCTTTTTCTTTTCAATTATGACGTCATTATCATTAGCCAAGTTGAATTACTTAATTCATTTTCAAAACATTGCCTGTATATAATTGCAATCCAACAACTAACTGAACTACCTAATAATATAGATAATTGTGAGTATCTAAAATCACGGAACTACTACACGTAGTCCGGACATAATCCTGATACATTATTATAACTCGAAACTAAAATAAAGCATAGTCAAGTCAATACGGCATGGACAATCCCCATGCTCACCAAATAAGGCAACAAGCCCAACATCAGTCTCAAATCAAACAACATAATAACAGATAAAAGTCATGTCAGCATCCAGCATATAAACGTAACAGCAGACATCTAACTCAGCTCCGGCCTACTGTCGCCCGAGGTCTCAACCCCCGAGTTACCTGAACCTGAAAATGGTGCCCAAACGTGGGGTGAGATCTCTAAACAGAAATCTCAGTAAGACAAGGGGTCCTCAAGGATCTTCCACCCCAAGCTCACTTACATGTGCAATATAAGTTCTAAAAGCAGTAATTCAATATCAGTTCCAAAATCAGTGCAATGCAGTAGATAATCATGTCATGTGTGTTAACTATTCTACTGATCAGAGAAGTGCAGGAATACGTCTATTACCCACACAGTACACGCCCATGCTGTACCCGCCCACAGGACCACCCCATGGCTTCCTCCTATCTAGGCGAAACACCACATACATATCATAAGGCAATTGCACTTAATAGATCAATAGCATTTCAACAAAACAGTACATGAAAGCACATCATGCATATAAACCATCCCCCCATGGGACATGGTGGAACCAACAATGGCTAAACCGAGGACACGAAAGCTTACCTTGCAAGCTAACTATCCAAACCAAGAGTCCAACCAAGCACAAAGCCCAAACACAGCAGAATCACAATCTGTTTTGGACTAGTAATCATGTCAACAACCATAGCTCATAAGCATATAACAAAAGACAACGCTTCTCTTTTATGTTTCATGTCTTAGGCTTCTCACAAAGCCACAAGCCCTTAATCACTTAGATTCTGACTTAACAATTCATTATAGAAGTCTAACTTCATCAATCTAGGGTCCACAAACCCATAACTCAGTTCTTATGAACAGTACCGTTACTATTCACGCAAACCCAAAATATCCAGATATATGTCAGGGTCATATCCGGATATGCATATCTGGATATCATATCCGGATATCCATATTCAGATATCTACAGACCCTATATCCGGATATCATAACCGAATATTTCGCGACAGAATGCAGTTCTGCATTTCGCGAGATATCCTTCCCAAAGGTGGTTCTTTTCACAGTTCCAGAAGCAACATGCATTTCTAGGTGTGTTTAACCTTACTCAACCTTAAGTTATCAGCTTTATCTTATTACATGCATCAAGACTTCATTTTAAACTATTAACTCATGATCAAAGGTTGGTGGAACTTACCAACAGCTCAAAACAGAGAAAGCAAAGCTCTTGGAGCTCACCACCAAGTCCCCACAGTTCTGACTTTGCAAGGAAACGAAAATGACAACAAAACAAGGTCCTTTCTTCACAAAGATAGCTCCTTGGAGTACCAACCACCAAGAAAATGGCTTCAACCACACAAGCCAAGGAACTCAACTCTCAAACTCTCAC